ACGTAACTCCCCCCTTTTTAAACGCCGACACCCCTGCACGCGATGCAGAAAGGCTCGCTTGTCTTTGACTTTGGCTTGCGCACGATCCCAACGGTTAACTACTCCTCTCAGGTATGAACTTTTATCTATCTATTTCTATCTCTCTTACACTGCCATTACATTTTTTCCCTTATCCTCGACACTTTTTTTTTTCATTTAGAACAATTTATAGCATATATAAACAAATCTAACATACTGTTTGTTCAATCTGTCTTCTTGTTGCATCTCTTAGGTTGTATATGATGCCAACAAACTTTCGAAGTTGGTAGAAAAGAAGAAAACCATGAAGAACTGGTTGGATTTTTATAAGCTAAAGTATGAAAGAAATTCATCGAAAAAACCAACTTGCAAGGTAAGAATTGAGCTTTTTTTGGTCGGCTGTAATTTAATCAGAAATAATAATGTTGTTCTCTACTGTCTTCACCAGACTCGTTTCTTCGGGCTCTGTGGTGCGAAGGTGGATGCAATTGATTACTACACATCAGAGATTGACAAGTTATCAAAAGATGTAAGCCATGCACTGTGGATTATGTAGAATCGAGCTTGATTCAATTCATTTTTGGAATATTTAGATGTATAACACTCAATCCTTATGTATTTACATATCAGTTTCCTAAACTTTGATTTTTACATACAGAACAAGTTAAGTGTGCGTGGAAGTTTTATTTCACTTTTAAAAGTTAAAATTGTGTGTCATATCAATGTAAAAAGTAAAGTTTTGGTGTTAGATATGTGAGTACAATTATCTATGGTTAGAATGGTGGTATTTTTGGTTTGATGTGAAAGATTTGTGCGATATATATTGTAAAAAGTAAAGTGTTAAGTGTTATATATGTAAATAGATAAGAATTGTATGGTATCTATATAAATGCCCCTTCATGTTTTATCAGTTTGATAGAATTCATGGGCACTTTACTCAGAACTATATTCACACTTGGCTGACTTTTAGGCTGCATGGTTTGATTTTCCATATAGTATTTTTTTTCTTTGGGAATTTACATACACACCACAGTTCTTATATATTTACATATCTAACACTTAAAATTTCATATTTACATGCATATCACTCAAATCTTTATCATCACATAAAAAATACCATTATTACTACTTTTTTTAAAAGTGAAATGCACCTTTTATGCATGGATTGATAGCACTAAAGTGTTATAAATATAAATATCAAACCTGAGGTGTTACATAAGTATATACATAAGAATTGTATGGTATGTATGCAAAATTCCTTTTTTTTCTTTGTATTTTCATACCTTTTCTGTTTGCATCATCTAACTGAAATAGTTTTGCTTTGTAAACTCTGTAGGATAGGTAGGGTGGTCCCTATGCTTGAGAACTTGCCTTAATTCCTTCTTTGTCACATGATTAACATTTTGGTTGAAGATGTATTAAAGGGTTATTTTTCATGAATTTCATAGTTTTGAGTATCCATACTTCTATGCCATGGAATATGGAAGGGGCATTTATACTCACCACCCAATTTCTATATATTTAGATATCTAACACCTAATTTTTGTTTTTTACATTTCTATCACTCAGATATTCTAAATCACATAAAAAATATTACTATTAGAACTTTCCATGCATAAATAAGGTGAAGTATATTTAAAAATTGATGCTTTCGTGTTAGATACATAAACACAAAGAAATTGATGTAAATTTTTTTAAAAAAAGTAATCTAGTAAATTTCATTGAGATGTTTTATATGAAAACTATAACTCACACCTAAACTTCCATATTTACCTGCATCGCACTTTGGTATTTTAAACTTATGCATGAAAACGTGTATTTGACTTTTAAAAAGTAGTAAGTGCAATTCTCTTATGTGATATTAAAGAAATGAGTGCTGTGTGTGTAAATATGAAGAAGGTTTAGCGGTGAGATATGTACATACATAAGAATTGTGTGCTACTTTCATATCAAACATCTAAATCTTACTTTTTACATGTATACCAGCCTAATCTTTCATATCACATCAAAAATATAACTACTTTAACTTTTAAAAAGTGAAATACACCTGCTCATGCATAGGTAAGGTGACATATATGTAAAAATTGAAGCATGGTTGTTAGATATGTAAATACATAGGAATTAAGTGGTATGTATGTATGTGAATCTTCCAAAATACTCTCTGCTTTCTTCTTCTTTATCCTAGCCATGAAGTAGTAAGCCCTCATCTAAGTTTTTTTCTTAACCTCCAAAATATAAAATTTTTCCCTAAATTTTCATAGATTTGACTTTATTTTTTTTTATTTTGCAGGAGGTTAAAGAACGCGATAGGCTTAAGAAAGACCCAAAATCCGTGATGCCAGCAGCATTTGTTTCATTTAGAACTCGTTGGGGTGCAGCCGTCTGTGCTCAAACACAACAGACCAGAAATCCAACTATGTGGTTAACTGAGTGGTCTCCTGAACCTCGTGATGTTTATTGGAGCAATCTCTCCATTCCTTTTGTTAACCTGACTATCAGGCGGCTGGTAATTGGAGTTTTGTTCTTCTTTCTTACTTTCTTCTTCATTATCCCCATTGCTATAGTTCAATCTCTGGCAAACATCGAGGGCATCGAGGAAGCTGTTCCGTTTTTGAAGCCTTTGATTGAAGTGTGAGTGTAATTCAAAAATTTTTTTTGGCTCGTATTTCCTATGTATCTACATATCTAATGCCAAAACTTTGCTTTTGCATTTATACCTCCCAAGTCTTTTATATCACATCATATGTATAGCCATTTTAGCTTTTAAAAAACTGAAATGCATCTTTTCATGCATATAAAAATTGAACTATAGGTGCTAGATATGTAAATACATTGGAATTGTCTTTGAATCCATTCCTTTAGGGGCATTTACATACATACCACACAACTCTTCTGTATTTAGATATCTAACACCTAAACTTTTATATTTACGTGTATAAAACTCAAATTTTAACATCAAATAAAAAAATCACTATTGATTACTTTTTAGAACTGAAATACACATTTTCATGCATGTCTTTATGATAACAAAGTTTCATAAATGTAACATCAAACTTTTCATGTTAGATATGTAAATACAAAAAGCAATGTGTGGCATGTATGTAAATTTCTCTTATAATTATTATTTACAGTTTCTTACATCAACTGTTTGCTGCAGTCGAAACCTTATGTTAGTTGGAAATCATTATTTTTACAATATGCATAAGCATTAAATTGATTGATTGCTTCTCAAATTCTAGTTTTGATCCCTCTCAAAGTTCTATCACTAGGTTTTTGCGTAAGCATGTTCGTTATCTGTTAAAATTGCTATTATGCTGCAATTTATAATCATTTTCAACTTCCTTTCGTAGTACACAATTGTTTTGTTTTTGTATTTACATATCTCACACCTATACTTCCATATTTACACAAATAGCACTTGAATCTTCAGTATGACATCAAAAATAGCAATATTATCACTTTTTCAAGGTAGAATACACCTTTTCATGAAAAGGTTCAAAGCACCAAAGTGCTATATGTGTAAATATGGAAGTTTAGGTGTGAGATGTGTAAATACATAAGAATGTATGCTATTGTAGTAAATATGGAAGTTTAGGTGTGAGATATGTAAATACATAAGAATGTGTGCTATTGTATGTAAATATTCATTTTTTATGCTTTAATTTCCACTTAATGTCTTGAAATCTTAATTAAATGGGTATTCTTTTTTTAGAATGTACACTTTGTTTTTGCAGGCCCTTTATAAAGTCATTCATCCAAGGTTTTCTTCCTGGAATTGTTCTAAAGATTTTTCTAATCTTTCTGCCAATGATCCTGATGATCATGGTCAAGTTTGAAGGATTTATATCTTTATCATCTCTTGAGAGAAGAGCAGCCACAAAATATTACATGTTTTTGTTTGTGAATGTATTCCTTGGAAGCATTATTGCAGGGACTGCATTTCAACAAATTGATACTTTCATTCATCAGTCAGTCAGTGAGTAAGTTTTCTGGCCTGCTTCCTACTTATAGGTGTTTTCTTTAACTTGCTTAGTTGTTTTTAAAAACACTCAATATAGCTTTTAGGAGCTGTCTAGCAACGAATTTAGAGCAAGATTTAACCTAAAAGTAGGCTAAATCTTATCAAACGGTCATTTTGGACAAAATAAAGCTACGGATTTGATAAATCTGGATTTAACGAATTTCAGCCATAAATCTGGGGTTTACTAAATCCCTCAAAACGGTGGATTTACGGCTCGGTTAAGTAAGAGTGAAGGTGATAGATAACATGCGATAGGCTAAATCTTGCCGAACAGTTTTATTGGATTTAAAGGATTTAATAAATTTGTTGTTAGACAGTTTTCTGGATTTAACTCATTTAGAATTTGTAAATTCAGATTTACAGGATTTACTAAATTCTAATAAGTTAAATCTAATCCGTTGACAAACAACCCTTTAGATGTTTTGAATGTTTTTAAAAGCATGCTAATATATTTTTAAAAATAAAAAATGCACTAAGCAAAAATATTTTAAAATACCAAAAAACAAAAAAACAAAAGTGATTCCAAACAAGTTTTATATGTCTTTACCATTGTTGTTGGGTTCAAAATATTTAGATCACATGGATCTATGATAAAATTATGAGCTTGCAGTGGTATAAAAGATGCTAAACTTTTTGTCATAGATTACACGTGCAACATATATTTTTCTCTGATCTAATATGAAATCAATTAGAGTTTAAACTGGATGTAATATTTTCAAAAATGAACCCAAACAACTTTTAAACTCTAAATTGAATTTTAAACCAAATTTAATTTTCTTAAAACCAATTCAAAAACAGTAATTGGTTGATCTTAGATTGCAAAATTATTTTTTTTTAATGTGTTGAAGCTTGGCTCTTGAGATGTTGTATAGAGGGGGGAGTAGTAGCAATCTAAATTGTTATCCGGGTTCATTTAGAGTTTAAATATGATGAAATATAAAATGCGAGAATTAGAGAAGACAACAAGATAAAATAACATGGAATCAAAAGAGATAAATACAAGGAAGAATGCTTAAGTGGATGAGTGGCTTTACACTTAGAGTCAAAATGTGAAATGATTATATCTGTGATAGTGTTGGTGTAGCTCCAATGGTGGACAAAATTAGAGTCTTAGATGGCTTGATCATATTAAACGTCGACCATCTGATGATCCACTAAGGAGAGTAAATGTTTTAGATTTAACTTATGTTAACCTTGAAATATCTGGCCATATTGTATAAAAATTATCTTAATTTATTAAAATTAAATGAAAATAAGACACAAAATAGCACGCAATGGAGAAAAAGGATTCATATAGCCAACACCACTTAGTGGGATAAAGGCTTGTTGTTGTTGTTGTTGTAAATCTTAAGATAGTCTCCAGACAATTCCAAAGTAGCCAATTTAATCTTAGAGTTTTGCAATGATCTCGTCAACTATTGCAAATTGTTCCCAAATGATTCTTTGAGTAAATTCCAACACAAAATGGTCTCAATTTAGTCCCTCAACTATACAAAATTGATCTTAATTCAATCACTGCAACCAATTGTGATCAAGTTATAATAGTTGAAGCATTAAATTGGAGCATTACAAAACTCTGGACCTAAATTGATTACGTAAGCAATCGAATGACCTTGTTGGAATTTAACCTTATTTTTTTTGCAACATATATTTATCTCTGATCAAATGGAACTATCATCTCTCTCTCTCTCTCTCTGGCCGAAGACAAAGGAGAATGCCATTGAACCATGCGCATCCTTCTCTTCTTTTATGTTGTTCTCCTTGCAAATAGTTTCTCTCGTTATTGTTACACGACTGCTTTCGTCTGCGCATTTTATTAACAATATTAGTTTATAAATCTCAATGCTAGCTAATTTTTTAGTAGATTACTCAGAACTTCTCACTTATCATATATGACTAATAAGTAAATTATTTTTTTGAAAATAGTTTAAACCACAAACAGACCATGGAAAAATTAATTTAGCATCTTCTTTATCTGTTAGATATTAATAATGAGCCTATCATGAGCTAGAGTAACATTCTAACGGCTAGTTTGATTTAAAAATTACAGCTTCCCAAAGACCGTCGGCATAGCAATTCCACAAAAAGCCACATTTTTCATAACATATGTAATGGTTGATGGTTGGGCCGGAGTTGCAGGCGAGATTTTGAGACTAAAACCTTTGATAGTGTACCACTTGAAGAACATTTTCTTGGTAAAGACCGAAAAGGATAGAGAGGAGGCCATGGATCCTGGGAGTATTGAATTTAATGCTAATGAACCTAAGATACAACTATATTTCTTACTCGGTCTTGTTTATGCTGTCGTCACGCCCTTCTTGCTTCCATATATAATGGTTTTCTTCGGCCTTGCGTATCTCGTTTTTCGACACCAGGTAAGCGGTTTTTTCGTCATATTGTTTTGTTACTGGGGGATTTTTTTTCATTCTCATCATCGTCTGCTTGGAAAGTATTAATTTCGTGAGATTTTTTTTTCGAGATTTCTAGCAATATTAATATCGAACTCGGGGCCTCGAACTTGAGACCTCTTGGATGGAGCCTAAGCTCTCAATCAATAAACTATTGTTTCTTGAGTTCTGATTCTAGACCATTGCATCAGTTAGATGTCCCATGCAGTGAATGGATGGCAAATCTTACTTCTTATATATCTGATATCTAGATGTTTACATTTACTTATCTATCGGCTTAGTTTGATAATCAAATCAAAATATACGCATGAAAATGTGTATTTCACTTCTGATAAGTCAATGTTAATGATATGTATTATGAGATTTAGAGATTAAGGTGTTTTATATAAGAAAAATATAAGATTTAGATGTAGGATATGTAAATGATTATGAATTCTGTGATGTTGATAAGAAACATAATCTTGGGTTTCTTCTGCTTCTGTGACCATTTGTATTTTTCATAATGAACTGAAATTTTCTAACTGGAAAATTTACATACATACCAAACATTTCTTACGTATTTACATATCGAGCACCCAAATTTTGATATTTACATTTATAACACTTCATTGTCATAAAAACTTATGCATGAAAAGTTGGATCTCACCTTTAAAAAAATAGTGACAGTGGTACTTTTGATGTGATATTAATGGTTTTGAGTGGTATGCTTGTACAAATATATGTTTAGGAGTTAGATATGTAATTACATCAAAATGTAATTTTCACATTTCTTATGTATTTACATATCTAACGCCCAAAATTTAATATTTACATTTATAACACTTAATTGTCATAAAACTTATGCACTAAAAGTTGCATCTCACCTTTAAAAAAATTGTGATGGTGGTATTTTCGATGTGATACTAATGATTTGAGTGGTATGCTTGTACATATGAAAGTTTAGGAGTCAAAATGTAATTTTCACATTTCTTATGTATTAACATATCTAACACCCAAACTTTGATATTTACATTTATACACCTCATTGTCATAAAAACTTATGCATGAAATGTTGTATCTCACCTTTAAAAAAATATTGATGGCGGTATTAATGATGATGATATTAATGATTTGAGTACATATAAATGTTTGGGAGTTAGATATGTAATTACCTCAAAATGTAATCTTCACATTTCTTACGTATTTACATATCTAACACCCAAACTTTGATATTTACATTTATAACCCCTTATTGTCATAAAGCCTAAGCATGAAAAGTTGCATCTCACCTTTCAAAAAATAGTGATGGTGGTATTAATGATATTAGTGGTATGCTTGTACATATTAATGTATAGGAGTTAGATATGTGCTTACATCAAATGTAATCTTTACATATCTTATGTATTTACATATCTAACACCCAAACTTTGATATTTACATTTATAACATCTCATTTATAACAATTGTATCTCACCTTTAATAAAATAATGATGGTGGTATTTTTGACGGTGATATTAATGATTTGAGTGCATATGAATGTTTCGGAGTTAGATATGTAATTACATCAAAATGTAATTTTCACATTTTTTATGTATTTACATATCCAACACCCAAACCTTGATATTTAAATTTATAACGCCTCATTGTCATAAAACTTATGCATGAAAAGCTGCATCTCACCATTAAAAAAATAGTGATGGTGGTATTTTTGACGGTGATATTAATGATTTGAGTACATATAAATGTTTCGGAGTTAGATATGTAATTACATCAAAAAATTGTAAGGTATTTATGTAAATGTCTTTATATTATTTATTTCTTGATAATGATTAGATTAAATATGTATTTTCAGATCATAAATGTCTACAATCAGCAATATGAGAGCGCAGCAGCATTTTGGCCAAATGTTCATGGCCGTATAATCACTGCAATGGTTGTGTCTCAGATTGTTCTTATGGGACTGCTAAGCACTAAAGAAGCTGCTAATTCAACGCCTGTCCTCATTGCTCTTCCAATCCTGACAATATGGTTTCATAATTTCTGTAAGAACCGGTTTGAATCCGCTTTCAGAAAATATCCGTTGCAGGTAATTTTAAGGAATGTTTGCATGCATAACCTCTTGATTACATTGTATTTTACATATGTACCACCAAAATTTCAACTTTTTTGCTTGAATGTTTGCATGCAATTACCTGCATAACCGTTGCAGGTAATTGATTACGTTGTTCGTGAATAGCTCGTGTGGTAGCTTGTGTTCCTGGTGTTCGGCTCGTTCGTCAAGTAAACGAGCCGAATACGAACAACTCTTTGTTCGCTCGTGTTCTGCTCGCTTTAGCTCGAAATAAAAAAAAAATCATATAGTTATTTATATAATAATATATTATAAATATTTATATCTAAGTTTATATCATAACAGCTTGTGTAGTAATGTGGGTTATATATTTATATCTAAGTTTAAATCATAACAGCTTGAGTGGTAATGTGGTTATGTGTCTTCTTTTGTATAGATTTGGTTCAGATTCGAATCCATCACTCACCATCTATTTTTTCTAATTAATTTTAACGAACCAATTTCGAGCCGAACACGAACACACTGTTCACGAGCCGATTTTGAACACGAGCAATTTTAAACCAGCAGAACATGAGCCAAGCCTGAGCTCAGCTCTTTTACAGCCCTATTACCGATGCATGAAAAGATGTAATTCACTTTTTAAAATGTTAAAATAGTGATATTTTTTGCGTCATGTAAGATTTGAGTGGCACACATGTAAAAATAGTCATTTACCTTCCTAGAAAATATTTTTCGGGGCATTCACATACATAGCACCCAATTCTTATCTATTTACATATCTAACACCTAAACTTTACTTTTTTTACATCTTTATGCCCGCCAAATCTTTCATAACCCGAAAAATACCACTATTTTAACTTTTAAAACATAAAAATACACATTTTCATGCATGGATAAGGCAGCATATACGTAAAAATTAAAGTTCAGGATGTTAGATATGTAAATACATATGAATTAAATGTTATGTATGTCAGTATTCCTATATGTTATTATTGTTCTTTTCTGCCAAGTTTCACAAACAATCAGAACTGCATATATTTGTTTACACAAATACTCCCCAAAATTACAGGAAGCAAAGATGAAGGACACATTGGAACGCACAAGGGAGCCTAACCTGGACTTGAAAGGTTATCTTCTAAATGCATATGTCCATCCTGTGTTCAAAGAGGTTGAAGACTATGAAGATGTCTCTGTATTTGATGAGGAAGACTACGAACATATGATGGTTCCTACCAAGCGAACATCTCGAAAAACTACGCCGGCTCCGAGCAAATATTCTGCCACATCATCATCTTCGCTCCTCGATGTTCATGAAGAACATCATTTTCGATAGGTCGGAATGTTATCATCAAAGTTTGATTGTGGATGGGCCTTAGAACCGTGGGATTTGCTTTGAGGTGAGTGTAATATATGAGGAATCCGCGATAAGTTCAATTGATTTTATACGAAAAGAATTTGTGGTATAAAATTCATGTCAATTTTATTGTTCTGATGAGTCTCAAAGTCGTTGAATTTATGTTGAGATGGTGTAATATATGAGAAAATAATTATGATTTGCAATCTACTATTAATCTCAACGTAAATTCAACGGCTTTTAGACTGATCCGGTCCGAAAATTTGGTACATTGTTTAATAAAATGTTGTAATTCTTTATATTTAGAAATGTAAATGTGAAGATCCATGATGTTTGGTTTATAGTGAATATGCTTCTAGTTATTTTATGTTTGTATTTAGTGGCATTTACATACGTACCATCTATTTCTATGTATTTACATATCTAACCCCTAAACTTTATATATTTTGCTCTCGAGCAACTTGCCACTTACCATCTTCATGAACTTAATATCATACGAATGAGGGCAATTGAAAGTTGTATTTGTAGGGCTTTAAAAAAGTTTAACTAGTTCTCTACAGCAGGTGATGGGATTTATTCATTTGAGTTGAACTTTGCTACAAAAATGAAGGACCTATCTTTGACCCCTGTTCAATGACATCTTCAAAGTGTTTTCAACTCACAACCGATTAATTTTCATATCAACTTAGTGCATATCATATGTATTCCACATGATGAGTCAATCAAATGCGACAGAACTCCTGCTTGTTGTTGTCATATCTTACATACGACTATAACATATAACATTGTATTGAATACTCGAAGCAAACTTTCAGTTTTTATAGCCATCAATCACTATCAACCAATGTGCGTCAACCATTTTAGGTTGCCTCTGTTTGTTGCCATCAACGACCCCTACTTACTAGCATCATATTCTAAACACAATCATAACATATAACATTGTATTGAAAACTTGATGGCAACTTCTAGTCTCTGTAGTTGTAGACCACCAATGGTTAGCATATGTTGTTTGTCGTCGACCACAATCAACCGCCTTTGCTCACTGCTATCAGTGACCCCTACTTATTAACATCATATCCCAAATACGATCGTCATATTGAAAATTTGATGATAACTTATGTTCTTCGCAGTTGTCGACAATTGTTGAACACCATCAACCACCTATGCTCACCACCATCAACAACCCCTGCTTGCTAATATCATATCATAAATACGATTATAAGGTATAATGTTGTATTAGAGACTCGACTATAAATTACAGTATTTGTTACCAACTAATGTTATTTCAACCACTAACTACGACCTACATGACCAAATACGACCTTTATGGACAACTGAAGGTATTGTAGTCACTAACTACGACTTATGCAACCAACTGACACTATTTCAGCCACTAACTTTGACTTGCCTGACCATCTGCTTTAGTAAATTCCAACTACAATTTCTATTGCGACCTAACTCTATTGCAGTTACCAACTACAGCCTATGTGACCAAGTAAATCTATTGTAGCCACTAATTACACTTATATGGCCAACTACTATTATAAATTCTAATTACAGCTTCTGAGACCACTTGACGCTATTGTAATAACCAAATATAACCTATGTGACCAACCGACATTATTACAACCACTATATATGACCTTTATGTGAATTATTACTGTAAATTCCAATTAGGACCTCTGTGATCAACTAATACCACCAACTGTCATATGTGACCAACTGACGTTGTTGTAGCCAGTAAGTATGACGTATATGATCAAATACTACTATAAATTTCAACTACGTCCTATGTGCAGACTATCAATATTGCAGTAACCAACTACGACATATGTGACTAACTACTTCTATCATAGCTTTCAACTACGGCCTTTGTGGCCAACTGGGTCACCAACTATAGTTTATGTGGCCAACTGATGATGTTATAGTTATCAATTAGGACCTTTGTGATAAATTAACGATATTACAGTCACCAACTATGGCTTATATGACCAACTACTACTGTAAATTTCAACTTCAACCTCTGATTGACGCTATTGCAATCACCAACCACCCTATATCATAGATATGTAATTTTCCAATTTTGGTTATTTATATCCTATAAATAGGAAGCCCACAAAATGTAATATTGAGGATTTGGCCCTTCTTTCCAGACTCATACTCTGTAAGGAGATCTTTCGTCAATTTTCTCTTCTAATCTCACAGTTACAATATATAGAATGACTTACAGAATTCGAGAATACCCTAGTTTGCCTCTAAGGGGCAAGTTAATATGTGTTATTTTATTTATTTCTCCGTCTCTTTATATTTTTTTCTCAAGGTCTCTACCGATTTGATCCTCGAGTGTGCCTCATAAGAAAAATCTAGATTCAACATGATGGTTAGGCCGGCTTTGGCATCAAAGAAGCTATCAATGATGAGATCAAGAAAAATCTAGATTCAACATGATGGTTAGGCCGGTTTTGGCTTCAAAGAAGCTGTCGGTGATGAAATTGGGGTCGGGCTCGACTCTATTTTCTATTTTTTAAAAAATAAAAATAAAATTATTTAAAAATAAAGTGAAATACAGGTAAAAAAATATGTCAAATAAATAAATTTTTTATTTTATTTATATTTTTTTATATAAAAAAAATTTACCCCACTAAATACATAGAAATTTAATGATAAAAATAAAAAATATCTTCAAATTTAGTATCTGAGGTCCCACACTCATTATCGTCATCGCTGATTCGCCACCGTCCTGTTTCCGTGGAAAAAATATTACATCAGTACTACGCACGTAGAGGAACGTGCGTACCCAATGAAATCACGCCACAATATCCCGCGCGACGCAGAAAAAAACGGCGCAGTAACACGGGGAATATTCCTCCCCGTGTTATTCATGTGTTATTGTGTGTTATTCATGTGTTATTGTATCCTGGGAATATTCCTAGTGTTATAATAACACAATAACACATGAATAACACACAAAAACACAAGAATAACACGGGAAAAAATATTCCCCCGTGTTACTACGCCGTTTTTTTCTCTGTCGGGAATATTTCCCGTGTTATTCAAGTGTTTTTGTGTGTTATTCATGTGTTACTGTATCCTGAAAATATTCTTGGTGTTATAATAACACAATAACATATCAATAACACATGAATAACACGCAATAACACATGAATAACGCGCAATAATACATGAATAACACAGGAGAACACAGGGGGGAATATTCCCCGTGTTACTGCGCCGTTTTTTTTACTCTACCGCGCGAGATGTCGTGGCGTGTTTTGATTGGGTACGCAAGTTATTTTTTTAAGTGAGTACGAATAACGCGCAATAATACATGAATAACACAGGAGGAAATATTCCCCGTGCTACTGCGCCGTTTATTTTACTCTACGGCGCGAGATGTTGTGACTTGTTTTGATTGGCTATGCAAGTTATTTTTTTACCTGAGTACTGATGTAATATTTCTTCGTTTCCGTGACCTGCTAGAACGTTCCGAAGGACTATATATTACAAGCGCTGGTCTTCTCCCAATCCTGGACGCCATTGTTGAACTCATCGAATACCCAATTCTCTCATTCTTACATACAAACACCACAGATTCGATCTCTGGGAGAGAAATCACAGGGGGATTGTGCGTTTGTGTCAGATGGATTTCGAGCTTAGGGCTGCTCGCGAAAAGTTGGAGAGAGAGCAAAGGGAGAGGAAAGAGAGGGCCAAGGCGAGGGCGGAGAGAGAGAAAAAGGCGAAGGAGGCTGCCACTCGCCGGCGGGAGGCTCTTGAAGCCGCCCAGCTTGCCAGAAGGATCGAAGTTGAGAATGCTCGTCTCAAGGTTCGCAAATCGGAACGATCTCTTCTTATTTTTAGATTTTTTTCGAAATTCCTGTTTATCCTTTTCTCAGCTGGCTGTTGTGATTCTGGGTGGTTTCCGATTAGATGCTGTGATCTGTGGATGTTTTAGATTTTCCCGACTTTATATGCATGCGCATGTCAAGGGGCAATTGATTATTGCAAGAACTTTAGGGTTTCCATGCGATGATTGTATTTAGTGGTTTGATTTTAGTTGGAGGCTTTTTTTGAATTAGTCAGTGTTATCGCGCTAGGATAGTTTTTGGCTTACCTTTGAAGTTTCTCTGGTCTTTTGATGCCTAGCTTATTGTGATATAGGTCACAGAGTTGATTTATGAATTAGTAAAACAGAACGGCTACCTTCCTGGTTATTATACGGATCAATTCTTAAAAAAACACGAGTTTAGATCGAATGCCTCGTGCATTAGAAGCTGGACGCAGATGGTCATCGGATCATTTAGCTAAGAACATTGCGGTGAAAGTTAGGAGCATTAGAAAGATGAAGAGGACAATAATATTCACAGATGGATTGGATAACATCTATAGAACCACTATATGGAAGTTATGGTGACTGAAGTTATTAATATGAATCTCTTTTTGTTGTTTCAGTTTTTTTGGTTGGATTTGAAATTGATAGATATGTGCCTTCATGTGTTGTTCAGTCTTGCCGGTCATTCTAGCTATCATTCTTGCTTATTGAATGATTTTTTTCCCCTTTTTGACTTACATTTTGTTGACTTTTGAAACAGTTCAATTCTGATTCCGCAGTGCTTTCTGGTAGTATAATTTGATCTTGTTTATTGGCAATAACTATGTTAGATAGTAGTGTGAATCCAGTCAACTGTGTTTACTTGAGCTAGACTGATTGGAAAAGAAAAAAGTGGAATATTTACACGCATACCCTACAATTCTTATGTATTAACATATCTAACATCTATAGTTTGATTTTTACACTTTGAACACTTTTAGCACTTTGGTGTCATAAAACTATGCATGAAAAGGTGTATTTCTCTTTTAAAATGATAGTATTTTTTAGGTGATGCTAAAAATTTAAGTGTTGTGCATGTAAATTTGGAAATTTAGTTTTTAGATATGTAAATACATCGGAATCCAACATAAGGATGTACAGGAGACATTTTAGGTTTGGACCTAGGACATGTCCATCTCAAAAAAATCTCTTTTTTGAACCTCAATACACTTGAAATTCAAGTTATTAAGGGGTTCTTGGCAGATTTTTGGGTTTCGACTCTTCATGCATTTTCTTTAGTAATAGCAAAGTCATATTTTTCATCTTAAAAAAGAACCAAATAACCTTCCCTCTACCATGATTTCTTAGCTGGCCTCTTATTCTTTGAATGTTTCTCCCAGGAAGAGCAGCAATTGGCGGAAGCCCTAGTTATTGGTGATGGAATTGTGTTTTCACGAACACTCGAAGCTCTTCAGTATATTGGCCATGGAGATAAGATTAAGCTACCACCATCATGTTTTACCGAGTTATCGGATAAAGGAGCTTTGGATAAAGGCCCCATGTATTTCAAACTTTCACGAATCGATAATCAGCCCTCTCCAGATCCTAATCTTTCTGGGGAACCTCAGCCTGGAACAGCACATTCAGGCGTTTTGGAATTCACTGCGATGGAAGGATCAGTAGAGCTTCCACTCCATATTTGGAACAATTTATTCTCCGACGAAGTTCCAGAGGTGCCTCTAATTGAAGTTCGCTATGTAAGCATCCCCAAAGGTTCTTATGCTAAACTGAAACCCGAAAGTTTGGGCTTTTTTGATATTCCAAACCATAAGGCTGTGCTTGAAACCCGCTCTTCGGAAGCACACAACACTTTCTCAAGGAGAAGTTATTACTGTCAATCAAGGGGAATTAAGCTATAAGGTCTTCGGAAGCACACAACACTTTCTCAAGGAGAAGCTATTACTGTCAATCAAGGGGAATTAAGCTATAAGCTAAGAGTTCTCGAGCTAAGACCTGCATCGAGTGTTTCCGTTCTAGAAACTGACATTGAAGTTGATATCGAGGGAATTGATTTGAATCTCGAAGAGTTTGAGAATGAGTGTGTGCTCCTACCAATCACACTTGGAAAGGTTGAATCAGGACGAGTTAAGGAAGGAAAGTTTGCTTATTACAAATTCTCCTTGGACGAAAATTTTCATGAAAAGGTTGCTTCTGGATCTACAAATATTGAGGTAAAGCTTGAAGTTGATACATCCGATGGTGATATTGATATATATGTTTCTCGCCATCCTTTGGTGTTCCCCACCCAACACCGCCATGAATGGTCGTCTCATGAGATGGGTTCAAAGACTTTGATACTAAGCCCGAAGAATGAGAACATGGTGGTGGGTACTTATAGCATTGGTGTCTTTGGCTTCAAGGGATGGGCGAGATATAAGATATCCGTGTCTCTCAAAGACAATAACGCAGTGAGAGTGGGTCAAAGTGTGAGATCTTCGTCTCAAGTAAATGATGACTCGGTGAAATGTCGAAATTGCAGGCACCACATTTCGAGTCACACCATTTTACTTCATGAGGCGTATTGCATCAGGAACAATATTGTTTGCGAGCATGATGGGTGTGGAGTTGTTCTAAGGAAAGAAGAAGCTGGTGACCATGTGCATTGTGTGAAATGTAGCAAAGCTTTCCAAATTGGGGAGATGGAGAAGCATATGAAGGTGTTTCATGCACCAACCAAATGTGCATGTGGAGTGATTCTAGAGAAGAAAGAAATGGTAATAAATCAATCATAATGTTTTATTATTTCTTTGCTCAAAGCGTGATGCACTTTTTTATATTGATTAATATTCATACAACGTGCCCGGAGTTCAATTTTCATGATAAGCTTTTTTGAAATATGAATACTATTTTCAAGCCGTATATTAAATTTATTTATACGTATTACATTGCTAATTTTATTAAAGCATTTTTTTTTAGTTTTTCTTACCGTTATGTTTTTTAAATTATCATATCAAATGAGTACATTATTTCATTACTAAAGTTTGTATGAGTAAATAATATTAAGGTTTATATGCATGTAAGATATATAAATAATTATTTTGGGAAATGTTTATAAGAAAATTTTAATTAAATGCTAGTCATATAGTTATATATTCTAGAATGTGTTAGCTAGTGAATTGAATCCATTGGTTGTGGTTTGTTGAGGTGGTTATGGGTAGATTGTATGCCATAGGACATGGAGGGACAAATTTCACTTTATTAAAAAGAGATTTATTAATTCATATTTCATTCACCGAATGAATTTATATTTTTCATCATTTATTTGTCAAATTTTGCAAAATATAATGGGGCATTTACATACACAACACACAATTCTTATGTATTTACATATCTAAGTCCTAAAAAATGCATATTTACATGCATAATATTGACATTAAATAAAAAAATATCACCATAATTACCTTTTTGAAAGTGAAATATACATTTTCTTTCACAAGTTTACGACACCAAGGTGTTATAAATGTAAATATCAATTTACATAAACAGCATACAATTCTTATGTACATACACATCTCACACCCAAACTTTCATATTTACACACACAATGCTAAAATCTTTAAATATCACATCAATAATAGCATTATTATCATTTTTTTAAAAGTTAAATACATCTCTTTTCATGCATAGGTTCCTTAAATCACATCCAAAATAGCACTATTATCACATTTTAAACAAGTTAAATACGCCTTTTCGTGCATAGCTTCCTTAAATCACATCCAAAATAGCACTATTATCACTTTTTAAAAGGTAAATACATATTTTCTTGCTTAGGTTTAAAATACCAACGTGCCATGTGCGTAAATATTATAGTTGAAGTGTGAGATATGTAAATACTTAAAAATTGTGTGCTAGTTATGTAAATTTCCTAGACAAAAATATATCATTTGTGTTCTATTATATTTTACATTGAGCTTATTAACAACTCTTATGTGTTATTTTTCTTCAGCATCCATTTCCTCTTTCATGTCATTTCTTCATTCCAATCTTCTTAATACCTCAGATAACATTGTTCCCTATTATATTTACATACATGCCTTCTAATTCTCATGTATTTACATATTTAACATCTGAATTTTGCTTTTTTTACACTTACGTCATCCAAGACTTTCATATCAGATCAAAAATACTATCATTTTAATTTTTTAAAAGGTGGAACACATATTTTCATGCATAGATGAAGTCGTATGTATCTACAAATTGAAGTTTGTGTTAGATATGTAAATATATTGGAATTGAATGGTATTTATGTAAGCAGCTTGTGCGTTTCCGGATAAGCTGCTTATCCTGAAACGCGGCCTGCGTGCCGGCCGCGGGGGTCGACCCGCGGCCTGTGTTTAGTGTAAAATCTCAAACGCTAAAACGCAGTTTCGGATAAGCTGGCGAAACGCGCGAACCAAACTGTACGGCGGCATTTTGAGAACGCCGCCCGCACTTATAAGCTCCCCCAAACGGAAGCTTCCTAAAATCGTTTGCTGTATTCATCTTCTATTAGGACAGCCCATAAATCCCATAGTATTTTAGCTACAGGGCCACAGATTGCTCCCTTCATAAATTCTCTTAAAGCAATTATACTTGGATGTTTTACATGCATACCTCTCAATTCTTATGTTTTTACATATCTAACACCTAAACTTCAAATTTTACATGCATACCACCCTGCTTATGCATAAAATGGTGCACTTAACTTTTTAAAAGCTAAAATGGTAGTATTTTCATTTTGTGATATAAAAGATTGGGGTGGTATATATGTGAATACATAGGAATTAAGTGTTATGTATGTAAATGCCTCATTTTTATATCGTCTGTCATTTTATCTCACTGTTGTTTCCTCTCATAACAGGTGTTGCACCAGTCCACAACCTGTCCTCTGCGCCTCATCGCCTGCAGGTTCTGCGGCGACATGGTCGAAGCCGGGAGCACGCCCGCCGACGCCCGCGATCGGATGCGAGGGCTCTCGGAACATGAAAGCATCTGCGGCTCGAGAACCGCTCCTTGCGACTCGTGCGGCCGTGCCGTCATGCTCAAGGATATGGACATCCATCTGATTGCTGTGCACCAGAAAAGCTGATGAAGGTATGTATCCAGGTTTCCTCCATTCTTTTCTTGCATGAAAACTTATACGAAAATTTACATACACACCACTCAATTCCTATGCATTTACATATCTAACAACCAAACTGCAATTTTTACATGAAAATGGTGCATTTCGCTTTGAAGCTAAAGAAGTGTTATTTGTTATGTGCTATGAAAGATATAGGTGGTATAAATGTAAAAAAAAAAGTAAAGTTTAGGTGTTAAATTTGTAAATAGATGGGAATTCAGTGGTTTGGATGTAAATGCCTCAAAACTTATATGATGTATGAGTTATTTGTATCTGTTTGTGTTTGGGTTTATTTGCAATTTATTGGGTTCTGAAGGGTTTGATGTTCTAAACTTCTAGGTTCATAGATTTGTATTATACTTAATGAAGATTTTTATTGTTAATGTAATTATAACTTATTTTCTTGTAATTATTTCGAATGAGTGGCACCACATTAGTTGGAAATTAAATTAAGAATTTTAAGGTGTTGGATTCTAAGTGCTAACCTTGCCCGAAAAAGAGAAAAAGACAGTCGTCCCTGTCCTGTATAGCAGGAGATTAATGGGACCCTTTTTCATGCTGCGGCGCGAAAAATAAGTTATTGAGAGGTTATTGGGGCATTAACTTCAATAAAGACACAATAAACCCTCAATAACCCCCCAATAATCCTCCGATAACATTTGTGGTTCCACTCTAATAACCACCCAATAACTTCCGCAGTTCCATTTCAACAAACTCTGCATGAGAAAAAGACAGTCGTCCCTGTCCTGTATGGCAATAGATCAATGGGACCCTTTTTCATGCTGCGATGCAAAAAATAAGTTATTGAGAGGTTATTGGGGCATTAACTTCAATAACGACGCAATAAACTCTCAATAACCTCCCAATAATCCCCCAATGACATTTGCAGTTTCACTCCAATAACTTCTGTTGTTTCATTTCAACAAACTCAGCATTAACCCTCCTAATAACCCCCCAATAACTACTCAATAACTTTCATGTTTCACGTCTTAACTTCAATAAAGACACAATAAACCCTCAATAACACCCCAATAATCCCCCGATAACATTTGTGGTTCCACTCCAATAACTTCCGCAGTTCCATTTCAACAAACTCTGCATGAGAAAAAGACAGTCGTCCCTGTCCTGTATAGCAAGAGATCAATGGGACCCTTTTTCATGCTGCGACGCAAAAAACAAGTTATTGAGAGGTTATTGGGGCATTAACTTCAATAACGACGAAATAAACTCTCAATAACCCCCCAATAATCCCCCGATAACTTTTGCAATTCCACTCCAATAACTTTTGTGGTTCCATTTCAACAAACTCAGCATTAACCCTCCTAATAACCCCCCAATAATTACTCAATAACTTTCATGTTTCACGTCAATAATCCCACAATAACCTTCAAGTGACGGCAAACTACATTTAGAATGGGCTTAATTTTGTTATAGTTAATAATCATTTCTATTCCTCATGTTCTAAGCATAACATTAATATTTTTTTTAAAAAACATATACATAATATTAAAAAAAATAACTTTTAGAATTATATTATAATTACAAACTTATGTTACTCGATGCTACAAAAATATTTAATGTGAGAAAATAAATTAATGAAAAAAGAAATTTAATATAAGGTTTACATTTTTAGTGCTAAAAGTCCAAGTTGGTGGAATTTGTAATAGAGAATTGAACAAAAGTGAATAAGGAAGAAAGAGTGAAGAGAAAAATATATATGAAAAAGTGTAATAAATGAAGTACATTTATAAATAAAGTTCTATAATTTTAATGTTATGAGATTTGAAAGTGATTATTTAGGTGAAATTAATTTGAAATTATATGATTGATTATAAGTATATTTTAGTTCATGAGTAAAATTTATTTAAAATTATGAGTGAATTCTTATTTTTATAAATCTAACTATTCTTGTTTTGGATATGGTTACTAAAATAATGTGTGTATTGGTGATCCAATGGACAAAAATCAAATTTGAACTTTGAATAACATACATCCATCATTTAAGCAACTATATGCATAAATTTTGATATTTTTTTTGGGATAAGCAGGTCGAACGCACGAAGCAAACAGGAGGACGGCGTTTATCAAAAAATCATGATAGCTTTTTGGGATAAGCAGGTCGAACGCACGAAATAAATGGAAGCGTGGCATTTTCAAAAAGCAACCACAGCAAAAAAACCTTATCCATACCTCCGTTTTCTGCATGCATGAAAATATATATATATATATATATATATATAATCTTTTTCTGATGGCTATCTCTGTAATAATTGTATATAGATTAAGTACCTCAATGGAGGAAGAAAATGGGGCGCTGTGTTTTATGAAGTAATCGCCCCACACAGACGGAGTATAGTTGGCTGATTGCCGGACAATTCCATCATCTTCCATCTCTCTCTCTCTATTCTATTTTTCTCCTTCAATGGAGCACAGAGCTCAAGGGATTGGTTCGGTTATATGGTGGGCGGACTTGAGGGGAAATTATAACTCTGAAAGTACTAAAAATTGTTTTTTTTTTTATTATATATGAAAAATTCAAACACGGCCTCTATAAAATTTAAAATGAGTGAAACAATGAACATGAGACACCTATATTTATGAGGATTATAAAATTATTCATCTAATTAAGTGCTATTATAATTGCAGAGTTGGCAAATGATATTATGATTAAAAAACTTTTTATCACAAAAACCTTTTTTCACTCTCTGCCTCCTCATAGATGATGCCAATGTCAATAATCAAACATTAAGTTCGAGAAAATTAGACTAAATGGCATATACGACAAGCTTAAATATATATATATATTGAAGGAAGACATAATGAGAATATTAGTAAGAGTTTCCACCCAAAGACTCTTAGAAAATAGCCTTATAAATTTGTGCAAACTTAGATATTAAAGGCTTAGTTCATGGCAGCGAAAAAGTTGACAAATTATCATAGGGTCTCCTTGAGGCAACTGTAATTGTTTTAAGCAGCAGCTGTGAAATTGTTGTAGAAAAAATTATTGTTTAAAAAGCTATGATAGTTATAATAATTTTTTATATATAATTATTTTATATTATTTTATATTTCAAACAATAACGATTCGAACACGAACGAACGCATCAATGTTCGTGTTTGGTTCGTTTAACTAACCGAACGAAAAAAATTTGTTCGCGCTTGTCTCGTTTACTTATCGAACGAATCGAACACGAACTCATTGACGAACCGAACACGAACTGTTCGCGAACAACGAGCTTTTTTGACAGCCCTAATCACGCATTCATTCAATGTTAATCAAGAGTCTTATACTTTAAAAAAAAATAGAGAACTCTATCAAATTACACATATGATCCTCAATTATGCTTATAAAGAAAGATTTGCATATATACCAATTTAATTCTTATGTATTTACATATGTAACTCGGAAAACTTCAATTTTTTAGTGTCACCTTGTGTGTGCATGAAAAGATATATTTCACTTTAAAAGGTTAATTAGTGGTATGTGCCATAAAAATGTGGAAAAACCAACTGTTAGATATGTAAATGCATAAGAAATGAAGGGTATGTTTGTAAATGACCCTAAATCATTAATGCAATTATGATAATTCAATATTAATCAAAAAATTAAAAATCAAAACTTGATGATTAAATGCATTGCATTTATGAATTCAGGTAATAAGCACTAAAATCATTAAATAGTACAATAAGCATGGATAATTACATACAGACCATAAAAAATATTAATATTTTCAAATTAAACGCTCGACTGGAACTAATATATTTACATGTGTCATGATCAAACTATTGAGAATTTGAGAATCATGAAAAATATGGGTGGGGTTTTCTGCGGCAAAAATTTGCCATGAATTATGATATTTCAATGAGAATTTGAAAAAAAAATGGCTGAAAGAGAGCGACTGGTTCGTAAATAACAAGTTTGAGGGATAATTATATACATACCACCCAAAATATTGATATTTAGTGGGTGTTTGGTAACACAGTTTCAACGCCAAAAATAAAAATAAAACCTAAAGTAAAATCCAACTCTATTAATCCAAATGTATCCCCGTTCTGTCTTCTCTACAACCGTTTTGTCTGTAAATCTAGATTTACTAAATCCCACTGAGACAAATTTATGAGATTTATGTTACTATTCATTATGGGGAAATATTTCCATACGGAATACGCACACAGTTCTGTTTGTGTAGTAATCTCCGCTTCACAGTTATTAGGAGGTTATTGAGTCATTAATTTCAAAAACATATAACCCAATAACCTTCGCGGGTTCTATTTGGATATTATTTATATGTTATGGGAGTATTGCCAGGTTAATGGAGTACGCATGCAGTGCTGCTTGCGTATTCCATATAGAAATATTTCTGCTGATTGTGACATTCGTCCCAACACGAACTCCTCCAAAAATCCAAATTTGTTAAATTTTATTTAACGTAAATCCGATCTAGGAGCCGAACACCCCCTTACAAATGAGAAAATATTCTGGACGGTCAACCACTGATGATCATATCGTCATACACGTCATCACAAGCAACGTGACAGGCAATAATTGGTCGTCTAGATGATGAACGAAATTTTTTTTCCTTACAGATTAACTAACAACTCAGGTGATATCTTCGTTACATTTGTGTGGCAATTTTTTTTCCTTACGGGAACGCGGCTACCTACTGGTTACCGAAGGAAGAAGGGCTCTCTTCACTGTATAAAATTCACAATTGCATTGATTTTTCTTCATGCGAGGGTTAGGGTTTATCATCCATGGCGGCTCCGGCGGTTGAATCGAAGGTGGCGACGGCGCTGCGAGTTGTATTCCGGCGGGTCGAAGAGGCGGCGAAGCGGTCCGGGAGGCGGGTGGAGGATGTGAGAGTGGTGGCCGTGGGGAAGACGAAACCGGTAACCCTAATCCGCGATCTCTACGATTCAGGCCACCGCTGCTTTGGCGAGAACTACGTACAGGAGCTCATACAGAAGGCGCCTCAGGTGATCTCTTCCACTTACCCCTGCTTTGGCGAGAACTACGTACAGGAGCTCATACAAAAGGCGCCTCAGGTGATCTCTTCCTCCGCATGATTTTTTTATGAGCCAATTGTGGTTCCCATGATTGAAAGTGGGAAGGGGAAACCGTTGAAGTATATAATGAAGATGGACTCTTAAATATAGAAAAAAATATTAGGTCAAGACTCCGGATACATTCGTAGTCCAATGGTAGGGCGTTATGTGTCAAGTGGGCCCTTCAAATTTTAACACTGATCAATCGCAGTGTATTGCGGTAGGCTCATTTGACACGTGGCGCCTCACCATTGGACTTTGAACGCAAATTGCGTCCGGAGTCCGGGTGTAATATTTGCTCTATAGGAAAAAATATAAAGACACATTTTAGAGTTTCAACCAAAAAGTCTGAAGTTCAGAATGCTCGTATCGAAGCACTTCTAGGATGTAGTATTAATGGGACAAAATCGTGAAGCCAATAGGTATTACACCAATGAGAGTTCGGGCTATTACAAATAGTATCAGAGCATTAAACTTATCTAAATATAAAAATATATGTCGGTTGGTTGATTTTGGATTAAGAAAACTGATGAGAATATCGACTACTTATGTGAGGGAAATTGTGAAACCTCATAAGTAAAATGAAACTGAAGTCGTAAACATTGGGGCGTTTTTTAGTGTTAACGGTTGTAGTTTTGACAAAAACTTTAAAGTTAAGCATGTTTGTGCAAGAACAATCCTAGGATGAGTGACCTTATAAGAATTTATACCAATGAGACAAACCCGTGAGGCCACCAGGCGAAAGCGAATAATATCTTGATAGGTGGAGTTATGGCTGTTGCAGAAAGGGAAGACAATACTCGTTATTGACCAAAAAACCCATCTTGATTGAACGAAGGCTATCCTGGTCGTCTAAGGGTCCTCTGATCTGCCATGAGGCTATCTTGCATAGCTTACAAGGATGTTTCTTGAAGTTTCTAAAATTTTCATTTATTTGCTATACTTTCTTTTTTTGGGTACTTACATATGTAGCACCTAAATTTTACTTTTTGCATTTAAACCGCCCGCATCTTTCGTATCACATCAAAAGTACCAACCATCATTTTAAATTCTAAAATATGAAATACACATTTTCATGCATAGGTAAGTTTCGCTTTATTGCGGTACGTACGTTCAGGTGTTACATATGTAAATATGTAGGAATTGACTGGTATGCATGTAGATCTTCCTTTTTCTTATTGATTCCTATACATAAAGAACTCTTGTGCATCACATTGTATTTTTCGCCTTAAAAAATACTATGATGATTTATATTTGATGACAAGTTCAAAGAATCAATTGATTCATGAATGGAATTCAAATTTTGGAACCAAATGCTAGCAAGTAAAGAAAAGTTCGTCTGTCAACAAGCATCTTGTAAAGCGCCAATTGAATGAAGAAGTAGAGTTTTGTGCTATGTTCAAGGGTTAAAAAGAAGATAGACAAGGTTTCAGCTTAATTAAAACTAGGAAGTTGTACATGATCATCAATAATTTCTCAATATAGTCCTCAAATAAAGCCAAAATATTGTCCGAACTATCTGAGATTCACATATAAATTGTTCCATAGGAAAAGATAATTAAAAGCATGCATTTTCGGTAAACAAAATGAAAACTTATCTGATATAACCGTGTTTATATTGATTCAAGCTGTATTGAGATGGAACTTAATTGTCTTGTTTGGTTACTGTACGCAGACTGTATTTGAGAAAACTTAAAACCACCTCCTTTTTTTTTATTTGCAGCTTCCAGATGATATCAAATGGCATTTTATTGGACATCTTCAAAGCAACAAAGTCAAACCCCTCCTAGGTATTTTTAATGTCAAACATGTTTAAAGAATTGCATAGATTAGCCACCATAATTAAGCTCTTCATAATAAAAATATCATTTTTAATAATTTTTTGCATAAATTTGAAGGAGTTTATATATTTTATCTATTAAGAAGGAAAATTAAAGGAAAAGAAGTGTTACTTATAACTCACATAGCTTAATCATTTACATGCACCTTAGTTAAGCTTGTATGGTGTTATGATTAGTTTGTTAGATTTATAACTTTTTTTTAATGTTTTAGTGTTGATACAATTGAATTGGCATAGTTCATTGATTGGCTTGCAAATATATTCAGAAAATAAGCTGATAAATTTGTTATATTATAACTATCTTCCTGATGTTTTGCTCATTATAGTGTTTTTCTTTTTACAGCAGCTGTTCCTAATCTGGACATGGTTGAGAGTGTGGATAATGAGAAGGTGAACATAAAAAATATTAGGGGAATTTACATACATGCGACACAATTCTTGTGTATTTACATATTTTGACACCTAAATTTTCATATTTACATGATAGCACTAAATCTTTAACATCACATCAAAAATATCACCATTACTATCTTTTTAAAAGTGAAATGCACATTTCCATGCATAAGTTTATAACATCAAAGCGATATAAGTGTAAATATCAAACTGTGCAATAACTTGAGGTTGGTCTTTTTTCTAGCATAGAATCTGCAAAATATGTGTCTATGTAGGCTTTATGAATCGGCTCCTCTTACCTTTTAACTTACAAAATTGACAAACATAGGCAATATCATATTTTAAGTATTTGATAAAGTTTGTGTATGTATGGTTTTCTCTTTATGAGCTCATTCATTTATTTTTTTCTGCAGATTGCTAATCTTCTAGACCAAACTGTTACTAATTTGGGAAGGAGATCCCTCAGAGTTCTGGTCCAAGTTAATACTAGTGGAGAGGAATGTGAGTATTACAGTTGTTCATGGATGCTATGATTTGCATGATTCATTGCTGAGAATTGAAACTACTTTTTTTTTTTCAATTAAATGATAGAAGCAACATAACTACATGTTCGGGGTGAATGGAGAAAATCTAATTTAAACTTAGAGAGCGAAAAGAAGAGTGGGCGGAACAGACAACAAAACAAATGGAGATAGACTTGTGAAAATAAAGACTCCATTGGTGGATTGTGAACATGAAAATATTTGAAAAGAGCAAAGAGGTGATAAAATGAACGAATACGACAAATGATGATGATGTCATCAACGATAAAGGTGATGGGCTAAAATACACTAGGCAGATGATATCTAAAAGAATACCTTGAGGAAATACAAAATCAAAGTTGTCAATCAAGGAGACTAGACGTAGCCTAAGAACCACCAATAAGAGAGGCACAATTAGAGGAAGCAATGCCAAGGAGTTGGCCTGTGAGATATGACGGAGTGCAGGAGGCTCATTCCAGATAGAAGAACACATGAGTGAGGCAACAAAGTGTTGGACCCAAAGCAATGTCGACGAGGCCGCAACAAGGAGCCTAGCTACTGCAGGCAAGTTGTAGTAGACAATAGCGAGGAACTCAATCGCGTGTAGAGGGGGAAGGGGTAGAGCGAATGAGGTGTGTTATAAATGAAGTTGATTTTGATTGTTTCATGAGCTTCGAGCATTCATCAAAATAGTTTCTTTGGAAACTGAATATTTTTTGGGCATTATAGCAACTAAATATGGTTTAGAAGCTTCAGGATGTGTAGCCGTGGCTAAGCATGTCAAATTAAACTGTCCAAACCTTCTATTTTCTAATCTAATGACCATCAGGCTGCCAGACATCTCGACTCGTGAAAAATTTTCAGTTGATCATTTAAACTTCAAATGGTACATTCACTTATTTTATCCCATTCTTCTAATGATTTTGTTTGTATGAATAGTAATGTTCATTTCAATCATGGCTCGTAGCAGAATCCACTTGTTATATTCTAGGAAAGATAAGGTGGATTAGTTTAAGCAACGTAAAAATGCCGGAAAAAAGCATCCCATGTGAGAGGGAAGAAGCTTTATGGGATGTTTCAAAGTCCAGAAAACCAGAAATCATTTTAACATTTGCATTAAATAGCCACTTACAGCATAAGATGATCTTAAAATAATATGATGATGATTAATAAACCCAACAAAGAAATCATCAACCAAATGCAAGTCTGCCATAAATTTGTGAATGATCTGAAGATTAGGAGGGCCAAAAGAATATTTGTCTATAATTAAGAAAGAGAGAGAAATTGTTAGTTGGAAGATATCATCTTCAATAATATTAAGCACATGTTTGTCATAAGAAGTGGATGGCTGCATGCATATGTTGAGGATATAGATCTTGCCAAAAAATAGAGCACTGAATACTTGAAGCTTTCGACCCTCCCAACAACACATTGTTGAAGGAGAAGGGAGTGCGAGTGCGAGCAAGGAAACTCATAGATGCTTTGTAGGGAGGCAAAGCTGCAAGAAATAGAGGAGTTTGTTCGCTTAACAATATCAACCCGATGAAGTTGATGAAAATAAAGACTCCAGTGATAGTGATTGTGAATGTGAAATGTTGGTGATGAGTGAAGAGATGACAAAGTTAAAAACTACAATAAATGATGAGGAGACTCGATGATGAAGGGGTTGGGTTATCCTCGAGCTATACAATATTATTAACAACATCAATCAGGGAGGCCTGAGGTAACCTACAAACACCAACAACAGATGTGCAATGAGAGGAAGCTATGCTAATGAATTGGCCTACAAGATGTGACAGAGCATTGGAGATTCACTCTAGAGAAAAGCAAGTGTGAGGAGTAATGAGCTAAACCAAGAGCCCGTGCGTATGAGGATGCAAGCACGTGCTTGAGTGAGAGCATGGAAGGGTCAATCACATCAACAAGGAGCCTAGCGAGCGGAAGAGCCATGTGGGTTGCAATGTGGCAAGCCCTGCAAAGGGCAAGAAGTGGTAGAGCAAATGAAAGGTGTTTTAGATGGGGATGGGGACCTTATTTTTTAACTGTTTCATTAGTTTCGAGCATACAACAAAGTGTTTATTTGACAACTTTACTTTGTTCAAGCAATTTCGTGCAGCTAAATCTGGTGTAGAACCATCAGATTGTGTGGCTCTAGCAAAGCATGTCAAGCAAAACTGTCCAAATCTTGTATTTTCTGGTCTAATGACTATCGGACGGCCGGACTACACCTCGTCTCCTGAAAATTTTCAGGTGATCTCTTACTTCAAATAGCTACTGTGTTACTCTATTTTATCCAATAATTTAAATGATTTTGTTTGCATGAATTTGGAGTAGGTATTGTCTTCTTGCAAGGATGAAGTTTGCAAAGAGCTTGGAATGCCAGAATGCCAATGTGAGCTTTCAATGGGTATGTCTGGTGACTTTGAGAAAGCTGTAAGTGGAAGAACACTAAGTTTTGTTTGAATTGAAGCTATAGAAACAAGAATGGAATACAGATAATCTTTTAAACAATTTGTTAATTAATTATGAATATATATAACCATTGATATAAACTTTTTACAAGCCCTTTTTACTTCTACTTCCTGAAATTCAAATTCCAAGCATATATTACGTGCACGTCTGGATGATAGTCCAGATGCAGCTTTGCAACTGTGTATCTAACGGCAGCCCATCCGGAGCATTATCCAGACGTGTCGTCGCTGCACATAATAATTTCTCTTATTTGAGAATAGCATTATCGCGACTTTATTTTCCAACCAATTGTCATACTCTTATTTGGTTATAATTTTATTGATAATTTTTATGAAATTTATGGTACTTGCATATCTATCTAGCATCTAAGCTTTCATATTTTCAATCTTTAATATTACAAGAAAAATACCACTATCATATATCTTTTCACGCATAGATTTATGACGACAAAATATTTTAAATGTAAATATCAAAATTTTAAAGTGTTAGGTATGCAAATTCGTATTAATTATGAGGTTTGCATGTGATTTTTGCATTACCATTATATTCTGATTTCTGCAGATTGAAATGGGCAGCACCAATGTGAGAATTGGATCAACTATATTTGGGCCAAGAGAATATCCGAACAAAAAATGCCAGTGATTACTGCATTTTTTTTCACCTGGTTCTTAATGCCCATGTCAAATGTGCAAAACAATTTGTAACATCCTTGTGCAATTATTTTACAAATTAGGGAAGTAACATTCGCCTACCACCCAGTTCTTATGTATTTGCATTCTAACACCTAAACTTTGATTTTTTACTTTTATATCACCTATGAAAAGAAAGTGCGGAATGCGTGTAAATCTTCCAATAAAGAAATTCATTCTATCAACTTCTATAATCAACAAGTCACAAGAAAATGGCATCAAATTACAGAAAAAAATGCTAGCTGAAGAGGCTACAATATACAAATTCAATTCAAGCCATTCCTACCGAAACCAGAAGTATTCTGTAGCTTTTGTTTTTTTTTTCTTTTTGTTGTTGTTGTTAGGATGATAGTAAGGTTTAGAGAAGCTGAAACATTATTAGTACTTACATTTTTACAAAAGCTGAATCTGGAACCACAATGTCGACATCGCCGAAGTCGGGGTGATGATTTAGGAGTAAGGTGTGCTCATTGGCCAAATGTAGGAGACAGATGAAAAAGAGATGTGGGGAGATATCCTTCTGTGAATCTGTAGGAGATTTGTCCCGTAGGCGATGCACCACCTGCTTGAGAGAAACTGGTACCTGGCTTCCCTCCTGCTTCTAACAAATCAATAAATAATAATAATAAGTGAAAATTACATACATAGCACTCAATTCTTATGAATTTACCTATCTCACCCCTAAACTTTCATTTTTACACACATATGAAAAGATAAGGTGATAATGAGTGCTACTTTTCATATGATATTTGTAATTATGAAAATTTAGAATGCTATGTAGATAAAAGCCTCTAATAATAAATAATCAGTAACGGATCTTGATATTTAAGGACAGTAAATTTTAATCGAATATTCAATAAAAATGTTGAAAAATGTGATGAACAGAGAAATAAATGATAATATTTCGTGCCGAAGATTAACAAGTTTGGATTGATGGAGTGTTGAGACTTCTTAAGTTGAGCAATTAAGCTGGGTGTAATTCAAAGTCTATGAGCATTGATTGACTGATTTATTGGCTAAAAGCTCTGCAAGGTGAGCAATATTTCTGAGAAACATAAAACATGATCAGACGTCATATTCTCTATAATTTGATCCTTGAGATGTATGGATTGGAATTGTGGAGTATAAAGGCGCATATGCGAAACTTTTAAAAAGAAAATATGATCAGTGAAAAATTCATCCACTGCCATTTTGTAGACATAGATTGTAAAAAATATGAAAGTAGAACAGCCAGAGATCAAACATTTCTCTATTTATTCTATTTGGTAGATATATATATTTCCTAATGATGCATCTTTTTGCATGCCAAAACTCTTATGTATTTACATATCTAACACCTAAACTTAGCATCCAAATCTTTAACATCACATCAAAAATATCACTATTACTTAACTTTTTAAAAATGAAATACAACTTTTTACATATGTTTATGACACCAAAGTGTTAAAAATGTAAATATGAAAGTATAGTCTGTTAGATATGTAATACAAATGAATTGTAAGGTATGTATGTAAAAATCCCTTTATTAAATTGTTGTGCTGGTTCATCAAGAGCTTAGTCTCATATAGCTTTTAATCTAGTAGTTTTGTCCCAAGACAATCTAAATGACACAGCTCAGGGGTTTGTGAATCGTCTTTGCTCATGTGAAGTTACTCTAAACTCGTGAAATCTACACTGGATTTCATGTACTTCTATGAAGAGGAGCATGGTTTAAACAAAATCATTATCTTAACAAGACTGCAAAATCTGCCATCGCTTTGCCAGTAAACCTATAGAGAATGAGCTCCATGAATATGGTTGAAGGAGAAGAAAAACTAAGGGGAGCAATCAGTATATCTCCAGCACCATTAAAAACTCAAACTTTGTCTGAATACGAATGAAATATAAATTGGTTAAAAACTCAAAATAAATGCATAAATGATGATATTGATGTCCAGTCATATTGCCTCAAGAAAATGGATGAAATTGTTCTAAGATTCCTAGAAGGTGCGGGATAACACAAAGGTCATAAGGGAAGTTGTCGGATGGGTAATGGGAGAGGGATGATGGATACCAAACTGGAAACGGAAAACAACAGTGTGTCAGTATAAGAAAACAAGATTTTACATCATTGTATTTACTGGACCTAAGCAGCGGTTCCCCAACATACACACATCGCTGGTTCCACGTCTCTATGTACAAACAGTGGCAATCAAACCAATCCAGATTTGCTTTACCCCTTCCCTCTATATGCTTAAAACTTAAGAAGATTTACGTACATTCCACTTAATTCCAATTTATTTACATATCTAACACCTAAACTTAAATTCTTACATATGTGCCAAATTATGTATGAAAAGGAGCATTTCCCGTTCAAAGACCAAAAAAGAGTATTTCACTTTCTAAAAGTTAAAATAATGATATTTTTATGAGATATGAAAATTTTGGCTGGTAAAAATATAAAAAAGTAAATTTTAGGTGTTACTGTGTAAAGCTATAATATTGGGTTGTATGTATGTAAAAGCCCCTACAACATAGTCTACGGTTGTCTTCCAAACTATCACATAACATTTGGTAGGTGCATTTAAAACACTATTCTCCCAAATATGTTTCCTAGCTGACCTAAATTATGCAATTCGTTCTCAAAAAGAATAATAATTAAAAAAAAATGAAATATCCTAGAACAAATTCAATCACGGTGTCTATTGTCATATTCAGGGCTAGCAGTCACGACTGGGAAATCTCATGATTGCTCAATGAATGTAAACATCAGAGTGTAATTTTTGCATGATCACTGAAGTTGCATGTCACAATTCTTTAAATCTGTGCCATAATAGCGATTACATAGCAGGATAACTCAAAGTATTTAATAATTTCCTGAAACCTAATATAATCTGCCTTTAATTTCACTCATCATTAATGTTATAGTGTGTCTTAATTGAGTTGTTGAATGTGTACTAACTTAATATGCACGCAAGCAAACTTTATAATAAAACATCAAATCCCATGAAAGAACGCTGATCTAAACCTCAGTGAATTCATCAAATTTCTTTAGGAAATTGACATACATACACTATTGTTATATATTTACATATCTACCGCCTAAAGTTTGATATTACACATATAACATCTTGGTATCATAAATCTAAGCATGAAAGCTATATTTCACTTTTAAAAGGGTAATGATGGTGGTATTTTTTATGTGATGTTAAAGCTTTGAGTGGCGTGCTTCGTGCTTCTAAATATAAATGTTTAGGTGTTAGATATGTGAATATATAATGATTGTGTGGTTGTATGTAAAGGCTCCAATTTCTTTTATCCTGTCCAATGCTCTTAAAACCATCAAAGCAGCCTTGACCAATAAAACCATATTGCTACTCTGCACTTTCAGAGAATTTTCGTTATTTAAGAGTCACCGTCCTAGAGAACCAATTGCCCATGTTCTGCTGTGCTTCTACTAATTTATTTAAAATAAATAAGCTAACACTAAAATTATAGCCATTTAATTAAGATAATCATCCAAAAAAATGAGGACAGAACCTGCATATGCTATACAGAGATAATGTTGATATAGATATGGAAACAAACACTTTCATGGCCGCTTAAAGTAAAACTAGAAAACTAAAGTAGAAGGAGAGAAAAAAAATTAAAAAGAAAAAGACTTACCTGATCAGACATCTCAACTGATGAGTGGATGCTCGTCCAAAGAGTCTCTTTCAACGCTTGAACATCAACTTGTTTAGAAACTTTGTCATATTGTATATCTACTTTGTTAACCTAATAATATGAATATCAAGGGAAATAAACATAAGCACATAGATTAAATCTGAGAAAAGTGTCAAAATGGTCCCCTGATTCGTTATAGGAGTCATTTCAATCCTAGAATTTATAAAAGTGTCAATTTAGTCTTGAGATTCTTTAATATGCATTGAAATAGCCTCCAAAGAGGATTATTTTAACCCCCCATTAAAATAATTTGGGAACTAATTTAACATTTTTTATAAACTCCGGAACTAGAATGGCCCTATGTAAATGATCAGCGTACTATATCTTATGATAGGGGACCTATTACATGATAATAAAACAAAACACAACGTTTAAATGATCGTCAAAACGAAACTTCCTCAATATCCACGAATTGGTTTTGGTGGTTTTTGGGTCCCGTCTCTCAAAATACTGTATTGTTAGAAATAGAGATTAAGTTTAAATAAGTTTCATCAAGTTAACAATGATATTCTCAGAAAAGTTTGGAAGGTGTATTTCATTTTTTAGAAATTAAAAAAGTGATATTTTTTATGTGATATTAAAGATTTAGGTGTTATAAATGTAAAAACTAAAGTAGGTGTTAGCTATGAAAATGCATAAGAATTGGATGGTATGTATGTAAATGCCCTTTTTTAACTCTGGTAATCATGCCGCGAGAATCTTATGTGCATTCTTTATGCTCCAAACTTTTGATTGTGCCAATTTTTGGTTGTCCAATAAAGCATCTGAGGAATTGATTTCTAGATTTCCACAATAACAAAAAAATAAAAATTTACTTATATATTTACCTATCTACCATCCACAGTTTGATATTTGCACTTTTAACACCTTAATGTGATAAACCTATGCACGAATAGGTGTATTTCACTTTTAAAAAAATAATGATGTTCGTATTTTTTATTTGATGTCGGACTTGCCAATTGAGGTGATATGCAATTTTTTAATGGGGTATTTACATACATACCACATAATTCTGTCCGCTGTTTTTTTTTAAAACTTCGTGATTTGAAAGAGGTGATTTGATAATTTTCTGATTTTGAAAATAATTTAAATATAAATATAACCTTTTGATTTTAAAATAGGTGAGACCAAACGAGTTTCACATTTTAAATAACTTAAATAATTGAATACAATACTACAAGTAATACACTTATCCCGAAAGATAAATATATTACTTGTAATAGAGTTTCAATCACCTAGATTAAACAATTTGCGACATCCGTTTTGGTCTGCGAAATATTTTTATAAAAAGACCAACAAATTCCCCTATCTAACATAAAAAAAATTTAGATAGAGTTTATTTTATCTGGGTTCCTGGTTC